GATGCCCATATGGTAGTGTCATCAGCAAATAAAACCACTTTCACTAAATCAGAAACCTTGCATATATCATTAATATATAGTATAAATAATTTGGGTCCCAAAACAGAACCCTGAGGCACTCCACATACAATATCCAGCTCACTTGATTGGTATTCACCCAACTTCACAAATTGACGCCTCTGTGTCAAATAACTTCTAATCCATTTCAGAACCTTTCCTCTGATCCCATATTTTTCTAACTTATCCATTAATAACTCATGATTGATTGTGTCAAATGCTTTTTTTAGGTCAATAAATATTCCATCGTGTATTTCTTCTCATCCATAGCACTTATGTCCTCCATCAGGTCGGTAATGGCCAAAGATGTCGATCGGTTCGACCTAAAACCATATTGGCAGAGAGGATTTTATGTCTATCAATAAATGTATCTAATCTGTTATTAAAGAGTTTTTCCAAGATTTTTGAAAATTGTGACAACAGAGAAACCGGTCTATAATTTGTGAAGTTGTGCTTATCACCAGATTTATACAGTGGAATAACCTTTGCTATTTTCATATTTTTGGGGAACTGCCCAAGTCGAAACGACATGTTAAAAATATGGGTTAATGGTTTGCATATCCCCTCAATTACCCATTTAACCATTGTCATAGTGATACCATCAATAAAGTCTTATGATTATGCTGTAATAAATAAAAATACTCAGGTAAGGTACAGATATTTCAAAATTATTTTTAAGCATAGTACTTGAGTAAATGTGTCAACAGTGGTGTTGTTTGGGTTTTTAATTGTTTGCTCTTTTCAAGTCACATACTATTTAAAATCTAACTGCCCTTACCAACAACTTATTCATTCTTCACATTGTGTCCACACTATCATTTTGATACTTCAATAAAATATCTTGCTTTGACAAGAGTCTTAACTCAAGCTCCACTATTTTTTTCCACAGCTTTCTCTAACAACTTATTCATTCTTCACATTGTGTACACACTGTCATTTTGATACTTCAATAAAATATCCTGCTTTGACAAAAGAGTCTTAACTCAAGCTCCACTAATTTTTTCCACAGCTTTCTCCAAGATCTCATGTTCTTCTTCATGACACAATAACGCATTACAGATTTCAGGATAAAGTGAGTGGGTTTTGTACTGTTTCCAAAGTCAAAAATGCACCTTAATGCTTCATTATTCCACTTGTTTACTTTCCCTAAACTCATAGAGACAACAACTAATAAGTACATACTGTTAACACTAACATTATTATAAACAAGCAAGTGTAAAAAGACTTTGGGCTTTTAGTGTGCTTACATTTTTGTTTTTTATATTTGTTTTGTCTAATTTGCATTCTAATGTTTTATTTATATATGGATTTTAATATTTTGTCTATCTGTGTGCATTGCGTTAAGCGCTTAATTGCCGCTGTGTATGAAAATGGCCTACATAAATAAACTTGCAATGCCTTCTTAAAAGCTGGCGGGAGGCCCAGTCGCTTTTATTTTGAAGGTAGTCACTTCCTTTTGCGCGTCACCGTTTTAATTTTGAAATTCAATTACTCTACTTCCGGTCTGTGCCTGGTTATGGGTATCTGGCTTGAAGCTGCAGTTGCCGTATTTATAACACGTGAGGGTCTCGTTAAAGCGGAGTCCCGCTGCCTCCATCCACCACCGCAGACATCACTCTGAGCCCGGTAAGCTGGCTGCTGAGCTCCGCTGTTTATTAACCAAACCGCGTTCTCCTAGAACCTGTTTTTAGACTGAACCATCCAGTTACTTCGGGAATGTTTTATATCTAGTTTTTTTTTTTGAATATGCAGGGTGCATCGCGCCTGACGTGATTATTTATAAACTCCGAGTCGCTTTATTAAACCGCTCCAAACAAGTGGTGACATAAAGGTGCGTTAATGCAGCGCTCGCTTAGAGCTGACCACGCAGCCTACGACAGGTCCCACTAACAAATACAGCCTACAACTCAGTTACAACTTGGAACTCAGTTCTTCTTTCACACATCTGGTCATTTCTCATGCACTTCAGGTGCAAAGCAGCATTTTGATATCTGAAGAGGAAAAATGCCTTAAAGTTTTATCTAGGCGTTGGCTGTCTGTCTGTCTGTCCGTCCGTCCGTCCGTGTACGTGCGTCTGTCTGTGAACGCGCGCGCGCGCGTGCTATAGTTACAGTACATGCTGACTTGTGAAAACCTAGACTGCCCCTGAAATCTGTTTCCAGTTAGAAAGTCTCCTTTTTTCACCCAATGATGGAACCGCTGAGGCTAAAAAATGCATCACAGAGGTCAATTAAAATTCCTTTACTGTAATTTTTCATTGTCCTGTGTGTGCGCCTGTGTAAATAATGCAGTGCTGGTACCAGCTGCTCTGCAGGCTGTGAAGTAAATTCATGATCCATATGTGCATAACTGACCGCTTTCTCCTAAGTCTCGAGAGTGTACTGCAAACCTTGTGCCATAGGAAGAACGCCCTGATTATTCATAATCGGCTGGAGAAAATATCATATATCTGTCAAATGTCTCAGCAACAAGACTGAAAGGCCTAAAGGGGAAGGAGACATTTTCCAGTAGTTGGACATTGTGTAATAATGGTGCAACAGGATGAAAATGTCATCTTAACCTAAAGTTATATGGAAATACCTTAAGTATTACAGCAATTTCTAGCATACAGGCCACAATAAACCAAGACCCATATGTGAGACTGACCTGAAGCCCAGAGGGAGTTTTAGTTTGAGCTGAAGCTGGTGGCTGCATGTTAAAGAAATTACCGTGACCTCAGCTGCATAAAACACATAATAGGCTCATAAAACTTAATTTAATTTGTCAGATTTTGTGTTATGGTAACTTCCTGTTGTGTTTTGCCTGTTGTGATTTTAATAGGTTGTGAATGGCATACAGACACGGTTTTTCTCTTTATTGATCCCCAGTGGAGATTTTAATGGACTTCTACAGCTTTAGAGTTTTTACAATATCAAAGTGAAACAAGCTTTCACTGTGAACCTTAGCAGTGTTTTATCTTTGACCTAGAGCCATTAAAACCTGTTATGATTCATCTGGGTGTGCTGACATTAGTTGGCAGTTGTGAAATTGACTGCTGCCAACCATATAAATGTTATCATCTGTTTTGATTTAAAGAAATAGTTTAACACTTGGAGATATGCTTATTCATTTCCTGCCAAGAGTTACATGACAGAATCAATACTAGGCTACTCATGTTTGTCCAGTGAAACTACAGATTTAAGTTGTTCTAATATTTCTTTATTTAAAATGTGCTGTGGAACATGTTAATGGCAAGAGGGTTCTGTGACTCAGACTCGATAAAAAGCCCAGCAGTGTTGGAGAGATATCCCCTTCTGAAGTTCTGGACCAAGTCTCACTCTTTTAACCAATCAGAGTAGCCCAAAGACAGGGGTGGGAGCTCATGGCTGTCAATCAAAATGTCAAAGTGCTTTGGGTCTCTACTCCTCTCACACTGAGGCTTCAAGCTAATAGGGCTGCACGATTCTGGGTAAAATATGAATACAAAATTTTTTAATTCAGAATTGAATCATGATTTTCTCATGAATCTTGGCCATTGAAATGCTGTCATATATCTTCAGGTAGGTAATCAGCTTTCAATTTTGGTATTTGACTATTTGAGACAGCATCAGATTTCAATGCAGTCTGAGTCTAATGATGAAGAAGAGAAGGCTTGGTCTGCTAGAAGCAATATATGGCATAAGGTGAATGTCAATTCCCTTATTTTAGCATTCCTCCATCCTTAATCCTTGCTTGACCTGAAAATTTTTCCGATCCACCATTTTGGATGTCCCAAAACATAACCCTTTTTCAGAAATCAGTTTGTGGTCAGATGATTCACATGAAGGATCAGAGGAAAGGACTTCTCATGTCAGTTAAAACAAGTTTCATTGTTCCTCTCTCCTTGCAGTTTGTCCTTATGTCTTACGTGGGCGGGACTAAGATGAAAGGAAAAGATGCAAGTGAGGGAAACGTGGATGCAGTTAGTAGAATTGGGATTCACCTATTGTCGTATTGCCTCTTCCCTACCTGTGTACATCATGTGATATAATGTATTCCTGTTATTAACACATCTTAGCAAGGAAATGGGAGCGCTTGGTTTGATGAGACGATCTCCCTGCTAATGCAAACGCTGTAGAATTGTCATCATGTGAAAATGAGAATGCATAGGGGCCTGAATTAGGATTAAAAACTGATTAGTCATGCAGCCCCACTTGTAAGCGATGATTCGTGCATCAGCTGAGAAAGCATGCATAGCAAGGGTGGAGCAGGGAGAAGAAGGGTGGGAGGAGCGCAGGAGTTTGACTTTGAATCTCATGCTAGCAATTGTGGGGCAAGATCTTTTATACACCGATTTCCTGAACTTGCATATTGTACCTTTAAATATGAAGCTAAAGCCAGAAGGTGTCAGCTTATCTTACCATAAAGACTGGAAACAGGGAAACAGTTGGGTAGCCTGGCTCTGCCGAAAAGTACAAAAAAAAAAGCAGCACCCCTAAAAGGTCACTTTTTAATACACACACATATTTGTTTGTTGTTTAATTCATACAAAAAGCAAAGTGTATCCTCCAATTTAACAGGCTGATAAACGAGTAGCATTGATCCTCTCATCTGACTCTGGGCAAGAAAACAAATGAACATATTTCCAAAAATGCCAACATTTGTTATACAGCACTCTCCAACACCATCATCAAAACAGATGTGGGAATATCTTTTCAAAGAATGGTAGGGATAAAGAGACTTTGGTGAGGAGCACTGAAGCTGTTCTGGAAGCTGGGGGCCACTTCATGCCGTTTTTTCCTTTCATCTGTCACCCATCTGTGAGTTGATTCAGCCTTGTGGTTTTACAGAGAAAATGATGGGAAATGAGCTAATGTGCAGTGCCATTAGAGGAATTTCTTAAATGTATACACACGTTTATATTTTAATTACAAATGAAATAGAAGTAAGGCTAGTGTGATCACTGTTAGGATAAGAATCTGGAGGAGTGATTAGAAATTGAGATTTATGTGTGAAGACTGGGACAGTTTGGAGGCAAACAGGCCCTTGAGATAGCACTGCAGGCTTAAATGTCACACAAGATCATTTTAACATCAAATTTTACAGTTAGCGTCGGACTTTCGGTCGTTCCCAACGGGACTGTTCTGCTGCCAGTGTGGAGAGGCTTCACTAACACATGCACACACACACACAAGCAGAAAATGTCACACAGCAGATTGTGATAGAAATGGAAATTGGTCACACACTGTTGCAGCTGAAGATTTCCACTTTTGCCAGCTGTTGTTGTGAAAGACATCACCGTTGCTGAATCGAGAAGTGGGGGAGGAAAAGGAGTGAAAGGGCGCAGAAACACTGTGTGTAGCTCAGGACAAAGGCAGTTATGTTCAGCACAGTTAACCAGCAGCTTCTGGTGAAACAATCATCTCTGTCCAGTTGTGGGACATGCTGCATTTCTTTGACCTCACTCCACAGGAGAGATCTCAGATCTGTTGTATCGGCTTTATTCCGCTGTATGGAATGTGGCTCATGAACGAAGAGCCAAGCCAAACAAGTCTCCTTCTTTGTAGGCTGCAATGCTCAGTTTTAAATATTGATGTGTATTTATTTTTGAGATAGTAGGACTGGAATCGCGGTGGGAACACTCCCTGTCGTGTTGTTGCAGTTGGGCCATGATAAAGTGACGATTTGAACTTTAGAGCTGCACTACGCTTTTCCTCTATGCTTCAAATTTTTAAATGTAGTGCTCATAACAAGCCACAGAGAATTATCGCCTGATTCCACAGTTCATATCAGCTCTACTGAGTTTGTTTTAGCATCTTTCAGCACTTTGTTTTGGTTTTACTGTTACTATTTTGGGTCACTCCTTTCAACTGTGTCAGTGAAAAACGTTCTGATAAACCTACTTCATGCTATCCACTGAACGACAAATGGCAGACAGACAAAGCTAGCCAGTGAACATAGCAAAGCATTTAGCAGATAAAGATCCAGATATATCCCTCTGGAGTTGCTGAAGACTATCAACACATTTCACATGGCCAAAAGTGAATGCTAATATTTCTCTGGGCCTGTTATTAGGCAAATACACCCCAAAAATTGTTAAATACAGATGTAAGCATTAAGGCTTTCACTTGAGTAATTTTGTGATTGCAAGTTAAAGCTGTCACACACCACAGAAAATCCTTACATAAACATATACCTGAAATCAAATAATCAGCCACCTAGTTTGTGAATGTTGTGGCCTGTTTATGAGGGCAGCTTTTTACTCACAGGCCTTGGTGGGGAAATGCATTCTGGTCTTTTGAGGCATCAGGCACTGATGCATCTCTTCTTCGATGGATTTGTGTGAGTTTTGAGGTACGATTGTGAGTGTAGTAAAAAGCTCTTGCTGCATCACTCTGAAAGACAAAAAACATTAGCTGAATATTTTTAGCTAAATGCAGTGAAAATCTAAATTGAGTAATTTTATTTACAGCTGAAACAATTAGTCAGTTAATCAGTTAGACAAAACCAATCGGCATCAAATTTGTTAGTCAAGTGCTCAAGTCAAAAATGTCAGATTTCCAGATTTCTAGTGGCTGAAAAGAAATTAGGCAGAGTAGCTTTTAGCATTAAAACAACTCGGATGTGGAAGGTCAAGATAATAAGAATATCTGGTACGGTTTCACTGTTCTGACATAAATGCCTTTAAGTCAAAAAGAAGTTCCACTAAGAGTTATTTTCAACTGGCTGCCACACCAAGTCAATGATTAAACAGCCAGACAGCCTGCACTGAGGTCACACCTGCAGCACACACATCCAGTATAACACAAGCTCAGCCAGGGTTTAATGTGAATTTGTAGGCACCAATGAGATGCTGATGTAAACACAGTTAGTAATAGCCAGTATGTTAAAAATTCACCAAGTGTGTGGCTGCACTCTGCCATCTTCACATTCTGTTGGAGACTTCCTGTTTCTCAGTTCTCCACTACATTCTTCAGCGATAAGCTCATGCCAACACACACACACACACACACACACACAGATGGCTGGTACATGCAGACGCCCTAAAATATTACACACTATTTCAGTTTGTCTCATCACGTTTGCCCCGGCTGAATCCTGCTCTTGCTCTCTGATTCTTTATTTTTCTCTCTTTCTCATCCCCCATGTGTTTTCAATGTGTGATATTCTTCTCGAGCACAGGACATGATCTCACCTGTCTGTGCTCTGTTTTTACACCACGCATCTTCAACAGCAGTGTGGTACTTTAGACTTGGGGGTTGTGACTGATTCAGTCAAGTGGCTGAACTTTACAAGAGATGGGAAAAGATAAGTAAATAAAGAGAGCAAATGCAGAGACAACAACAAAAGGTGGAGAAATTTAGAGGAAATTTCACCAGTACTTTTACAATCTTTTAACTTGAGTGGCTGCAGATTGATGGAAACTTACCCTAACCCAAATGATTAAGCTGATAAACTAACAAATACTGCCTGTGTATTCCAGGGCCTGATGTACAGTATCTTATTCCTCTGTGCCACTGTTGTTAGAAACTATTGCACTGTTGCACCAGGTGACATGTTCCCTCATCACCTTGAGCATAGACACTGTAGTTTATTCTGAGTCTCACATACACTGTCCTGTTTTTATCTGCGGCTGAAAATAGTCCCCCAGAAAATCACAATTCACTCTCGTTTGATTTGTTGACAATAAGAAACGTGCAGAATAAGTCCAGTCTTAACTTTTAACCCTAACCACTACATGCCTTACTCCAACTCTTACCTGAACCAAGAGCCAACGCTTAAACATAAAATGTAATGTGTACCCTGTGTGGCGCAGGCTCCCAGAATGTGACTTTATGAACAGACTTGCGTCACCACAGTGTGATTAATACGAGAACACACAGAGTTTTCCTTGGCTGTGGCGCTGCCCTCAGCCCTGCCTGCGGCTTCGACTACGTGACACGGCTTAATTTCACATTTAACTGTTTCCATGGTGATCAAACAGAGGCTTGTATTGGCAGTTTGGAGAGAAGAAAATGATGTATAGGTGCTGTCTTCCCATGACCCGGCGAAAATATTTACTGCCAAAAAAACAAAGTAAAGACATGCAGCGACAGCGTTCTTAGAGCCGTCTGACGTCAGGGAACCTTGATTTATTTTCTTACGACCTATGTGGATAATTGCTGGCTTCCTGTCAGCCATTGTTCGGCTCCCATCAGATAACCATTTTACAATACTGATACCCGGCAGACTGGTGTAATATGTATTTACAGTATAGCTGTGGCCTAAGAATGTTTGTGCAGTTCTTAGGAACAAAACAAGCAAAGACACTTTTTAGTGAAAGGCAGAAGATAACAGACAAAAAAGATGGAGGAGATAGAAAACAGATTATAACAGGTACACCAGCCGAGTGTTGCCTTCGACTGGCTGTACTCGCTGTCTTCCAGTGGAGATGGATGAATAACCTTGCCCAGTCAGCAAATAAACCAGATGCAAGTTTTTTATTAATAAGTGATGAATTTGCGGGTCACCGAAAAGCCAAGGCACATGCAGTCAGACTCGGTTTGCAGCTGTATTGTCTACTGGGGAGATAAAACCACGAAAGACGTTATGACGTCAACTTTATTAACAGCAGCACCTTTAACCTCAGCCGCATATTTCTGTCAAGCAGCAGTCTGACTCTGGGAAGCAAAGTGAGATGTGTGAAAATTTCTTATTACTTACTGTATACTAGTGAGCTACTGGTACGAATTTGGTTTCTCCCACATAAAACGTGTAAATACTACAATTAAATGTAAGTAAATGTAAATCTTTTCTTTGCATATTATGGATTGGTAAAGGATTTTTGAACAGCAAACCGTTTTAAATACATACTCTTAAAATGATCGAATTAAAAGATACAGTCTATGAATTTTACCCTTGTTGACCCCCTGACCTTACAGGTAGCTCCATCATCAGGCCAAAATATTAAATAAATATCTAATAAGGTTCCCATCAGCTTTGGCTGCACTTTGTGTTCAGTGAAAATGACTAAGTGTTAACAGGCCAGACTAAGTCGGTAAACATAGTCACTATTATTGCTGCTTAGTAGCATGTGTGTTAGCATAGTCAGTGTGAGCATGTCAGCATTTAGCTGAAGGCTCAAAATGCCTAAGTACACCCCCACAGCCACTAGTTTGGCTGGAAACACTTGTTGGATCATTAATACACAACTGGAAATAATGAGGTCATGGGTCTCGTCTCATTTCATTGTCCCACTTCCCATTCCCGGCCCATTCTTCCAGGGCCTTACTCAGACCTTAACCTCAACCAGCCAAACTATTAATCAAAACCTTCACATAACAATTTGTGGATTTAAAAAATAACAAAGGCTAAAACTAGAACAACCTGTAGTACAAGTCCCTGACACCAGGATCAGGTTGCAGCACTTGACAAAGCCTACAACTACCTCTGTTTACCAGTGTCTGATAAAGACATTCACGATTCCCCCTTTAAAAACACCTAAATGGGCATCAGCATTAAAAAAAAAACACCCATAACCACCAGCCTCTGCCTACAATATAAAAATTAATCCCTGATCCATCTCTGACCTTTGCTGAGAGTTTAGGTAAAGTCACAAGCAAAGGGAGGGATTTGTAGGTTTGTGAATGCAGCCTAAACTCGTGGTAATGTTGGTGCTGAGCCAAAACCAAATCTTCCTCATGAATCTGCACTGACATGCCACTCCAACCAGGAGGAAAGCGCTACAGCTATGGCTTTGTTGGTCCAGAGGGAGCAGTCTATGAACAAAGTGGGGTGTGTGTGTGTGTGTGTGTGTGGAGGTTCTGTTAAAGCACTGTCGACGTTCCAGATCTCACCACATTAGTCATACCAGGCATTCCTTCATGTGTTCATCTCACTGTGCGGACAGACATACAAAGGTTGGCCTTTCTATAGTTGTGAGGACACTCACTGCCATGATGCATTTCTTAGCTCCTTGACCCCAAACCTTAACCATCACAACTACCCTTAACCCTAAGCATATTGTTACCCTTAACCCTAAAACCAAGTGCTAATCCTCAACCAGCTCTTTGACGTTGTGAGGACCAGGAAAAATGTCCTCACAATGATGGTTTCAAAGTGCATTTTGTCCACACAACCACAGAAAGACACACACACACACAGGTTGGGAGAATTCCTCGCTGTCAGCCAGCATAAACTTGATGTGGGAAATAGAGTGAGTGAACAGACATTCGCCATCTCTTCTACATTTTTGTGTTTTTGTAGCTGTGATTTTGCCATCATATTGTGTATTATTTACCAGCTGAAGTCCTGACCCTGTAAACACTGCTCTGTGATCAGAGTTATGGTGATCAACATGGTGATTTTGGTACTATGTTTAGGAAGTTTGTGTTGAATTTTAGGGAGGGTTTTTTGGACTTTGTGTGAGAAACAAGTTACAATAGATAAGGATGCTGAAGACACAGCAATAGCTGAGTTATTGTGTGCAGTCCTCTGTCCACTTTGGAACTTAAACTTTAACTTGAAGGGGAACAGTAAAACTAAAGTAAGACTAACAACACCACAAAGTAAAATTACTCCAAATACAGAGTGTACGTCCAACCACATCCAAAATTGTTGTTTCATGTTCCAAAAGAAAAAAAAAACCCCACTATGCTCTGCACTTTACAGTAAAGAAAGTCCTTTCACATCAAGTACAGCTCTGAAAATTCTTTCACTACTAGATGCTCAACAGAAAAAGTCTTTAACCCTATAAAGCCATTTGTATCATATTTGATACGCGAGCTTCTGAGCAGATAGAAATCGCCAAAAATGCCCCATGTTATCAAATGTGATACAAACAAAATAAAAATATTCTAAATAATATGGTACATTTATTCCTATATGCCTGGACTGTCTGTCTATGCATAAATGGCAAATAAAAATCTTGAATCTTGAATTTTCTTTTGGATTTTGTTAAAAGGTTTAATAAACATCTCGTGTCCAAAACATTTGACTGTTCTGGCTAGTTTTTGATGTGTTGGTCTTTACAGGATTAAACAATAAATGCCAGCACAGTGATTCAACTCCAGTGTATTTAATGCAGTGTTTTTAAATTAAACTTAAAATGATTTTTATCCTAATCGCATTTGTTATTGTACAGAACAATTGCAGATATATTTCTGACTTGCACCTATAATGAAAAATGTGTACTTGCACACTTGAGGTTTGATGTCTCAGCTACTAATAAACTCATTTTACAGCAGAGATTATTACTCGGACAGGGAGATAAAATGCAACAATCTGGTTTAAAACTTAAAATAAGATTTTAAATTACATCAAATAAAGGATTCAAATGTGTGTTGCTGGTCATTTGTCGGCCTCTTGAATCAGCCATCAAACTTTACTGTCCAGGTTTATCAGCTGTGTGAGCTGTTTTATCAGAAGGTGAGGTGGACGTGTCTCACACGGTACATAAACACTGACACGAATGCAGTGCACATATGCAAACCCAGAGGTGGACATACAAATGCGGATATGTTCAACTGGTTGCTAACAAATCCTTCAGAGTTGGCAACAGAGCAAGTGGTGAAACCATTTTTCTTCTCTTCAGTCACATTAAGTATAGCAACAGTGCCCCAGTGTGGCGGCTTTAGGTATCCTTCAAATTTAAATAGATAAATCCAGCCCCTACTGTATCAGTCATTACCACTGAGAGTAGCTGATTAGTGGTGAAAGCAACATGGCTCATTAAAATCCAATAAAACAAACTGTAATTACTCACCTTTTCTTTGATCTTGTCTCATTTCCAGGAGCTCAAGCAACACACAAAGCTCTGCAACTTCAAACAAAATAATTTAAAAATGACACTGGGGAAATGTAGATAAGCATTCATTTGACATTTTGTGGACTAGAAATTATGAAAGCAATTATTAGTTTCAGCTGTAAAACCATCTTCAATTTTAATAGGATGTCTATGTCTTAACTTTATGGTGAGCAAGATTTTACCTTCCCTCTCCTCTTTGTGTATGCTGTAGGTGTTTGTCTTCCTCGGTGTGAAGATGGCAGAGAGCTCACGCTGCTTCTACTGTCGGGAAGACCTCGGGGGGAAGAGGTTTGTCCGCAGTGAGGGCAGGCCGGTGTGTGTCCGCTGCCACACCAAGTTCTGTGCCAACTCCTGTGCCGAGTGTCATCGACCCATCTCTGTGGAAACAAAGGTGGGAGCATCCTCAATGAATATGGTTAATTTGATAGTACCAGCACCTCTGAAGGAAGCCCCTCTCTCTTCCTCTACCAGGAGCTCAGCCATAAGGGCCGATACTGGCATGAGGAGTGTTTTCGTTGTGCCAAGTGTTACAAGCCTCTGGCCAAGGAGCCCTTCAGCACCAAGGACAACCACATCATGTGTGGAAAGTGTTGCTCCAAGGAAGACGCCCCACGCTGCCACGACTGCTATAAACCCATATTGGCTGGTAAAACAGGGGAACAGAAAACCCCGATTTTGTACCATTAGCGAAAAAAAAAAAAAAACTGTGCTGGAGGGAAACTGGCACATTGCTCCACTTATTTGATTAAAACAAGAAGACTATCTCCAAATACTGTAAAAAAAAAAAATTCTATTAGATGTTTATATTTAGAGCCACTGGTGGTAAAATTAGTAATGTAAATGTATTAGTGAATAAAGTTTTGTAATTATCTGCAGACTATACCAATTCTTTACTTGTTGTTTTGAAGCACTACCAACTTTTTTCTGATCTCCTGCAGGCACAGAGAGTGTGGAGTACAAAGGCAACTCATGGCACGACGAATGTTTCACCTGTTTCAACTGTAAGCGGCCAATAGGGTCACAGAGTTTCATTTCCAAAGGAGATGACATTTACTGCAGCCCCTGCCATGACAAGAAGTTTGCCAAACAGTGTGTCAGCTGCAAAAAGGTACACACAGGAAACAGATGTTCCCACCTTCATCATTCTTACTAAAAGTAAAAGCTGAACACAAACAGCCTGAAAGGGATATGCTCAACGTTTTCAGTTAGCACATGCACTTTGTGGTTTGACCAATTTTTTGCAGGATAGTTTTTGATATTTCTTTAGATGTATTTCTTTTTAAGTTGTGATGGTTGTAATTGTTGAGACACTAGTTTGGAAACAAAGTAAAAAAATTCAAGGTGGTGGTTCTGAAGATTTCATTTCATACACTTAGCTCTTATCTTCCATTTGTGTCCAGCCTATAACCTCTGGAGGAGTCAACTACAAGGACCAGCCATGGCACAGCCACTGTTTTGTGTGCGGCTGCTGCTCAAAGCCTCTGGCAGGGACAAGTTTCACCAAACACGAGGACCAGGTCTTCTGTGTCGACTGCTACAAGAACTCTGTGGCTAAGAAATGCAGTGGCTGCCGAAACCCAATCACAGGTAAAAGTGCATTAAAACTGAAGATAATGTTAGAAAATAGATGATTAAACCATGAAAGGGCAATGCACTATGGCTAAAATATCAACACTAAACTTTCACTTAAACGTTTTTTTTCCAGGTACTAATTTAAGCATTTAATGAGTCAAGCTTTTGGTTAGGGACCAATTTATGGGTTCAATTCAATTCAATGTATCTGTATTGCGCTAGTTCACAACAACAATCATTTCAGGACACTTTACAAAGTCTAGACCTTACAGCATTTCAGGGAAACTCCAACAAATCCCCTTTGAGCAAGCACTTAGTAATAGAGGATAGGAAAAACTCCCTTTAATGGAAGAAACCTCCAATAGACCCTGGCTCCTGGTGGACAGCCTCCTGCCTCGGCCGGTTGGGGTGAGTGGACAGAGGAGAGATGAAAGAAGCAAAGCAACAGGACACAGCAAACAAACAAACACCGGGCAGGTTAATCAGAAATATACAGCTCTGGAGCAAGAGATACCTGCAGGGAGGTACTAAGGAGAGAGGAGACACAAAGTTAGTGACATGTAATGATGGTGGTATATAAAAATGAAATGGAGAGGGGAGGGGAGAAGAAGAGCTCAGAGCACACTGGAGGATCCCCAACCTAGGCCTATCACTAACTACAACTGCCAGTTTAGAGTGGGCTGTGTGCTGGACTATTTCTTTGACAGACAGTGAATTGTAGTTACTCTTACTATTAATGTTGGACAGGGCTCAGCTAGCAAATTCAGGAGCTGGAACCTCTAAATAAAGGTCTTTAAAATGAGACAGGCACCAAAACTAATCTGGATTGTTTCTGTCAACTACTAAAGTCAAAAACTGACACATTTAGCACAAAGAAATAGCCCTTAAATGCCCAATAAACTGTCATATAAGTGGCAACTTTGGGCAAGAAGCTTCACTACAAACTGGGTTATAGTACAGTCCTTCCATCCATTATCTATACCGATTGTCCCTGAATAGGGTCGTAGGGGGCATGGAGCAATCCCAGCTGACATTGGGCGAGAGGTGGGGTCCACCCTGGACAGGTTGACAGTCTATCACAGGGTTGACTTTAAAATCAACACATGGAGGGCAAGTGGAAAATACTGTACCTAAATAAAATACTGTCACTAAAAAAGCTCAAGGCAATAGCGTATCCAGGTGACAGCGTAGTGAAGGAGTTAAAAGTCTCTGAGTTAGCCGTAGCTGAAGCAAAGAAAGGTGGCAAAAAGAAAAGTCTCAGCAGATGGTGCATATGGACCAAAGTGACTCAGCCTCTACCTCTCCTCTGTTCTCCTCCAGGTTTTGGTAAAGGAGTGAATGTTGTGAACTACGAGGGCAGCTCCTGGCATGAGTACTGCTTCAACTGTAAGAGATGCTCCCTCAGCGTGGTCAACAAGCCGTTTGTAGCCAATGGACGAGACATCCTCTGCACCAACTGTGGCAACAAGTAGTGACAATGAGCGTGGTCGTTTTCTGACACCAGTTTATAAATCCATTAAGTTTGCTTTGTTTCTTTTTTATCTTTACACAGATGGACTGTCTTCATTTCAATATTCTGTTTATTATTCGGTTTGGGAGATTACCTATTAAGAAATGGAGACCAAAATGTAAGTTGTGTCCAGTGTTGATTGTTTGCTCACATGCTAACACTGCAACACATACTCTGTGCTGAATGAGGGCAGTAACTAGCTTTGTCCTAAAAGGCTGAAATGAACACTTAAGTTGCTAAGCCTGGAAATGTCCTGTAGGAGATCTGAAGCACATAAAATACAATAGGAAAATACATGTAACAACAGTGTAACATGGTGGGGGGATGACTTGTGGCAGCTTTGCTTCTGGGAGCTGTCACGTCATAGTCTGTGGTTGTGAAAGTTGTCATTATCATTTAACATATTAAGTGTTAGCATAAAGGTAGAAGTTAGCTTGTATTTTTAATGCTGGGAAATCTGTACTTGTATGACGTAGTTGGTGAAAAGCATTTGAAATAAATAACTGAATCTGGATTGTTGTAATTATTTTTTATCTTTTTTTTTTAGCATAAAATAGTTGCTTGTGGCATTAATCTTCTTTTTCTCATTTAGAAAGGTGATATCTCCCTATGAGCAAAAATATTTTTTTAAATAATCACATGTCTGTCTACATAAGTAATTTCTAACTGCTTGATGTACTTTAAAAACAAATTTACCTTCAAGGAAAGAGGAAAATTTGAACATGTGCAAACTGTGTGCCTTGATGTATGGCTGAAATTAAATAAATAAAAGCAAAGTCAGTGTATAAAGAGAATTGCAGCGAGCATTTTCTGAAACCTACTGACAAGATATAATTATGGTTTTATTATAAATCTTGGAAAGATTAACATTCCTTGCAGAGTTGAATACAGAGGCTGGTACCAGCCCACCAAAGGTCAGTATACTGGTTTTGTCTGAGCTTCAGAGAGTGACTTCACGTTACATGAGTGTTAACATAAACAGCATGCTTGTCGAAAGTAATTACCTTTCAATTTATGCCTTTGGGAAGGAGTCTTACTTGGCATAAAATTTAATTAGATTGGTGACACCCCCAAAATCTACACACCGTCTCACTGGTGTCTCCGTCTCACCTACGCACAGGTGCATAATTACACAGGCAGGAAAATTCAGAGCAGGGATACACTGGTCTCCACTTCACACACAGTCAAACTATCTTTGTCTGCAGAGCCCAGTCAGGGCGTCGGCTGCTCTGTCTCCTCACCTCCACCTTCTTATTCTGCTATAAATCCAGTGTGAAGACCTTTGTATTAATAAATCACTGCTATCCAGAGCCTGGACCCATATTTTAGGATTATTATATCTATGCAGGTAAGTGTTGCTTCACTTCCTTCAAAGCTTGAATGGTGTTTTGATGAACCTTCACACTTGCACTTTAAAGTCAGTATCAGCAAATGTTTAGATGGTTAAATCTTAAATCCTCATTTTCAACAAAGACATAATTAAACTGATGGAGATTCAAGTGTTAGATGTTTCTACAGTTTCTGTCTTACATATTGTAAAACCTGTTTATGTTCACTTAATTCTCAAAGTCTGTCCTTACTGGAAAATACTGCAAAGGAAATAAACTTTGTTTTTTAGATTTGAGGATGATTTTCCTTCAAAAGCTGCTGAATGTACTTGTCACTCTGTCTCTGCTGAGCAGCCCTGTCTCTACTGTGAAACAAGGTATGAAAAGGTTCAAATGACTGTAGTTTGGCCCCAGTTCTTTAAATGTGAGTAGAGGAAAAAAATCATAGCTGTGACTATACAAGGATAAGACAGGACAATCGGAGCAAACAGACACTGGCAAACACCCCGTTTCTCATTTGAAACCAAGTGTTTGATAGCTTTCAGTTTACAACAGCTGAGCCTGCAGCTCTGTGAGAAAGTTAGCGTGATTGTAAATATTGTCTAAAACAAACACATTTTAGAGTAGTAATTCATTATGGCTACACAATTAGATATATGGTCTAAGATTCAGGTGAAAGGTCTAAAGGTTGAAGTCAATATAAAAAGTGAAATGCAATATTCATGTGTATGTTGTGTCTCATTTCACTTCCTTGTCCACACACTGGATTTTTTTTAGTACAAATATATTAAAGGTAATTATTAAATACTTAAAAAGAGACAAGAAACTGTTGTATCAGGCTGCAGTAGTTTTGCTAGGTGTACCTAATAAACTGACAGCTGAGTATATATTGTCAGTCCCTCAGCATAGTCTATGGGGGAAGGTGGCCAACTTCAGCTCCGAGTGCAGGCACTGGACATTAAAGCCTGACGTCTCCATCCCCACCCTGCAGGAGCTCACCGTCTGCCTCAGCCTGAAGTTCAAGGTATTTATCAAAAAGGTCATTTTTGGCACCTCACAAATCATTCCCCACAAAACCCATTTGACACTGCCAAAACTTATAAGGGCAAATTTAATGAAGCTGGTTCATGTTTTAATCAATCATGGTTTGTATAATACTTTATCATCCATGTCTATGTCCAGGCGTTGTCACCATGGATCGCCTTCATATACCAGCATCCTAAGTTTCCATATATTGAACTGGGATTGGGGGGAAAGGGGGGCCATTTTGTGGTCTGGCTGTGTGGGA